TGACCGTATGGCACATACTTCCCAAACAACCATGTGGTTATGGCAAATGAGCAAGTAAACCTGTAACATTTAGGAGAGGGAAAGTCTGTGTCAAATAAGGCCATTCTCTATGAAAACAGTCATATTTGAGGGCGTATATCCCCCGGTGGAGAGTAAGTAAGTTTTGTTTAAGACTTTTCGGAACATTACACAGCGATGACCATATCGGTATTGCTTGAACGAAAATGGAAAAATAACCGGTATTTTGAAGTAACATACTTTCTATCTTTGGCTTTCCCAAGATAGTTGTGATATGAAAATATTCTCATATAAGCATAGTCATCGATAACTGGATATGTACGCTCAAACGTGTCATGATTCCAACACACAGGTACAAAGTGTTGTATGATGTTTGTAGTGTCTAGGCATCTCTCTGGGAACATAAGATGTACTAAAAATAGTAGTCTGTAACAATACACCTATTCAAAAAAAAAGAACCACTAAACTTTGTTTTTGTTACTCTTTTAACCATTACATATGAAAGATTTGTGGTTAGTCTTATGCGGAACACCAAATTTATTCTTTAAAACTTGTGGTAAATTAATACCGAGCGATTAAAAGTGGCCAAAAAGTCGCCTGCTTCCCTCTCGCCCGCCAACGAAAACCACAGACAGGTTACGTAACTCTGTCGCCAGAGCACTGCAGTGACGTCATATGAGGAACGATTTTCAGTTAGTTGTATAGAAAGTGTGTAGCACGCTCATCATTTTGATGATTTCTCGACATGAACGACGACATGCCGAATCGTTGCTTTGTCGTCAATTGCTCCTAGGGGTCGGGTGATGGTGTCACCATGCACAGATTTCCACAGGACCCGCAGTTCGTGCTAAATGGGTTATGTTTGTGAGTGCGAAGCGAGCGTTGTGGAAGCCTGAAACGATATCTTACTTGTGTTCAGATCGCTTCACGGAAGTTAAAGAATCAAAACTACTTACTAGTTATAGTAAAATATGTATATGATTGATGACCATAAAGATTTTCCATAACACAACTTGTAACATAACGATTTCTTCCTCGGAAGTGAGGTTGTGGTCGAAGTAACAATAATATTGTAAAGTAGTATTATATTGACACCCACCTCGCTGCCAGGAGAAATTGTTATGTTATACGCTATGTCATGCAAAATCCTATTGGCCATCAATAAAATACATATTTTACTACCGGTAGAAAGTAGTTTTGATTTTGTAACTCGGTGAAAACAAACCTAAATAGCATTTATCCACAGGCTGGCGGATGTTCCCGACAAGAAGCCGCCATTTTGAAAATCGTAAAGTCTGTTAGAATTAATGAGATTATAGTTTGTTTTCATCAAGGTTAGAAAATCAAAACTACTTTCTACTCGTAGTTAAATATGTATTGGAATCATAACCAAAAGGATTTTGCATGACACAACTTATAACATAACGATTTCTTCCACGGAAGCGAGGTGGGGAGTCGAAGTCACAATACTGCGCGATAAATTTCTTGCTACATTCACATGGTTAATGTCCACTCACCAGTATGTAGATACTAGTCAATGTGCGTCTTTATATTTGGTCTTATAATCCTAATTAGTTTATTATCATACTTTTATGCATTTTGAAACTAAATAAAAAGCTGACGATCTGCTGATACTTATAGTGAATTTATAACAGAACTGTAATATCTAGACATTTTATAGTTTGCCAATGTGAATCATAATTCGCACACACACCCTAGTGTATGTTGTCTGTCTCATTACACTTCACGGCGAAAACAATGATTCTGTTGAATGCTACGACAAATGAATAAAAACAAAATGCAAATATTAAAATTAAAACAGATTAAAGTTATAGGAACAATATCACGCCATTACCTTGTTTGAGGAATGTATCCATCAATATCCACAAAACTGTTCCAAATGATGTGTCTTTTAACAGTTTAATATACGAAAAAGTGATAAATCTTTTCAGGTATTGGTGTATAGTCTCATTGGTCACCCAAGATAGCACACCTGGCAACTAATTGCATAATGTCCGCCTTTCTTTGAAAACAGTAATTTAGTTAGCCAATAATGGGCAATCAATCAATGTATTGCCGGTTAATCCTTTGAAAGAAGGACGTTGTTTTTACGCAGACACCGACACGACAGAGTGTATTCAGTATAGATTAGTAAATCTACATACATAAACACTACCTTTTGACAAATCCGCTGTGTAAGATAAAAGTAATTAATCAATCAGCGTGTTATCGGTTAATCCTTTGATCGATGTTTATAATGTTGAATATTTACTCCAGACACAAGAAATGCCAAATGGGAACCTTTGTCGGGTAATCTAAGTGTGTTACCACTAATTATACCTGTTATAAATTCATTAACTGACCATCAAGTGAATGATGACAAATAACATGTGTAGGTTTATACCACCTAACACGGGTTACAACAAGGGAGTATTAATTGCTGTATTGCATGTGAAAACTTATGGGCCGACACTGTTTTGAGAATACAAACAGATTTTGACATGACATGATTAAATATCGACGTAAAAAAACACAGAAATGGGATCAATTTGGATCAGTCATTATACAAATAGGGCCTAACGACACCAATCAATTGTGACAGAAGCATCTATGAAAACAAGTTGTAACTCGGAAACTAGGCAAAGCAGGAGACAAAATTAAATGCCAGTAGATTGTGAGAACATATAGCTTTCATTTTCCACAACAATTGTCACGATTTCAGGTTTATACAAGCCTGTAAACAAGATAATTTACCCCTAAAATGTAGATGAATTCTGCATCGGCCCTCAAAGCTATTCCTCATATGACGTCACAGAGTCGCGCCTCTCTGATTGGTTGAAATTTCGTTCGCGGGTGAGAATTGCGCACTGTTGTCAAAAGGTCGATTTAAGTCAATTAAAGGTCGAAATGAGTAGTTTTAATGACGGGGTTTCATTTATAACGATGCCAGTTAGTGATTTATGTATTTTACCCCTAGGGTTTATGTGACCTTTAAGTCAATGCAATGGAACATTCAAGTGCACTATATACACATTTAATTTGAGCATATGTTGTACATTGGCTTAACAAGTTAATAACCTGTCGTCCTCATTATTAGCAACCACTAAAATGTGGATCGGCTACAAATGGTTATATAATTAGATTTGTTGTGGCATTCCTTAGTCGTGTGTTTAATGTTAGATTTTTCTTTTGAATTAACAAAGTTACATCATGTGTGAACGTTTCATTGTTCTCCAGAGCATGGAGCCAAACTATGAAACAAAGTCTTTGGGAGGGATCTGTTCGAACATTAAAACCTCACTGTTATGAAATCTTTGTAAGTGTTGTGCAATAATGAAATCTTACCACGTCAGCTAAGTTGTCCATTTAAAGATGCGTGACTAACGTGTAGGACTTTCATTAACAGCGTGACATGGCATATGTGAAATGAACAGCTGACAGTAAATGTAATTATATTTCTCAGCCCCTTCTCACCTACATATCATTGAACTATTTGTGGTTTTCAACAATCGACTGTTTGGGCTCCATTGTAGTTCTCTAAAAGTACGATCGCAAAATCAGTTATTCCTCTTCAGAATGGCTAGTAGTATTATATTTTATATCGCGTCGAGATAGCATTTTGTATGAGAAGAAGTTTGTCCTTTGCTTGTTTCATGAGTCTATAAGTGAATACTGGCTGGATACAATGCCTGAACTGGTCGATTGCGTGTTCTTGATCAGGACGCCGCAAAAGGGTTCTTTGTCAAATGAGCTCAAAGTTAGAACATCACATGCAGCATGTGTGGATCCTTATGACGTGTAGCATTCGTGTCATTGTCAGTTTAGTGACAAAAGAAGTAGTCGGAAATACTTCTACTTTGTATCTTTTAAAAGTCTTTTCTGGACAATATTTTGATACTTTTAACTACCTTTACGATTCCAGCGTTCACAAAACACCATTCCTTAAATCTTCAGACATTGTAAAAATACATAGTCACATGTACATTTATTCATTTCCAAGCGTGTGAAATACAGGTAGTAAAGTAAGAATAACATTAGTACAACAACATATTGAGCAAACTCCATCTATCTGGAAAACAGTACAAAAAAGGTAAATGTATATAAATGAACACACGGCTAAACGGTTTGTTGCGAAGAGGTCACCTTCGCTTGACTTTGTTGTTACGTTGATTGATTGTTGTACGTTTGTTGATTAACGTCGACATCAGCAATAACCACCTACTTAATGGCGGCCTGTCACTGGCCGAGTTTAGATGAGAAAAATAGTGAGTGATATTATGAGCATCATCCGTCGCCATGGCGACACCACCGAGCTTGATCATCTGATCCATTAAGGCATCGTCCGGTAAGTACAGGTTATTGGAAACAAATTCTGCTCTGGGGTGCGCAGGGGTCTACACGTTATGGAGCAGTGTGAATCTCGTTAATCCATTCATGTGTCACTAATAAGATGACGAAAAGACAACAAAAATTCGTCTACCTCAAGAGAGTCTGTGTAGCTTTCCTTTCGTAATACGTTGAGAAGCAACTCACTGCTTGAAAAATCTTTGAAAAGTCCTCAAAATACACTTCCTTTTCCTTTATCTTTCTTTACACCTTTGTGAGTGTTAATACTGATTACATACAAAATTATCAGTGGTGACAAGTTTAAAATGCACACGAAGAAGAACATCCAGTATTGACTGAAGTCAGAGGTTATCTTTGTTGAGATTGGTGATTCGCATCCAGGTCTGTGGATTCTGGTATGGGAAGCAACGAAAGACCTTCTTGCTTTTCTGGAAAAAAGCATAGTTCATGGTCAATGCCAGATTTTTATCTATATGAGGTGTATGAACTTTCATGATAGACACGTTTCTGTGATATCACGAAATAGATATACACTTGAGTGAAATGAAATTTTGTGATCTTTGGATATTACTGTGAAATTGCTTGAAGCAGGAAACTTAATTGATTATTGGAACATGACTACTTGTATTTGTGCATTAACAGTCCATCGGAACACTACCATCATGCAAGATACTTATTTGAAAGAATGTAACCAAACCTTTGTCATCTGTAGATCTGAGACGAATGGGTTGTCTGTAAACATAGAAAACATCACCATGTAAATATCAATGGCAGTGATGATTCAGAAGTTCCGATTTTGAAAAATAAAATATTTTTCAACGCTCATTTTCATATAACGTCAATTTATGTTCAGACTTTCAAATCTTAAATGAACATGTATGTGTACTCCTAATCATTCAGTTTCTGCATGAAATTATGTTTGTTTGTTATCATAAGCAATAGCAGTAAAATGTTTAAATGCTTCATTTCGTGGAGATAAATTGTAAAATCAAAGGTGTGCACATATATTAAAATCAAAGGTGTGCCCATGTGTAATTACGAGAACTGGGTGCCTGGTGTTATCTGGGTCACAGATCGCTTCATATGTTCCTGATTACAATCCTTTATGAGCAAAATATCAAAGTACCTATTTCTACCACAAATATAACGCTCATCATCTGTAAAGAAATTGCAAGTGATTGTACAGTAACTATGTGATGGTTAAGTCTTTGTTCATTTCTCTTGCTATGAATCTAGGAACGTGTTTGTTTTGTAGACCTTTGGCCTCAATGGTATCATGAATTATTGTAGACCTTTGTCATCAACAGTATCATGAAGTATTATGGATATATGGCCTCAATGATATCATGAATTGTTGTAGCCCTTTGGTCTCAGTAGTATCATGAATTATTGTAGACCTTTGTCATCAACAGTATCATGAAGTATTATGGATATATGGCCTCAATGATATCATGAATTGTTGTAGCCCTTTGGTCTCAGTAGTATCATGAATTATTGTAGACCTTTGTCATCAACAGTATCATGAAGTATTATGGATATATGGCCTCAATGATATCATGAATTGTTGTAGCCCTTTGGTCTCAGTAGTATCATGAATTATTGTAGACCTTTGTCATCAACAGTATCATGAAGTATTATGGATATATGGCCTCAATGATATCATGAATTGTTGTAGCCCTGTGGTCTCAGTAGTATCATGAATTATTGTAGACCTTTGACATCAACAGTATCATGAAGTATTATGGATATATGGCCTCAGTGATATCATGAATTATTGTAGCCCTTTGTTGTCAACAGTATCATGAATTATTGTAGCCCTTTGGTCTCAGTAGTATCATGAATTACTGTAGAACTTTGGCCGCAACAGTATCATGAATTATTGTAGACCTTTGGTCTAAGTAGTATCATGAATTATTGTAGAACTTTGGCCGCAACTGTATCATGAATTATTGTAGACCTTTGTCCTCAGCAGTATCATGAATTATTGTAGACCTTTGGCTGCAACAGTATCGTGAATTATTGTAGACCTTTGTCATCAGCAGTATCATGAATTATTGTAGACCTTAAAGCTTTGGCTGCAACAGTATCATGAATTATTGTAGACCTTTGGTCTCGGTAGCATCATAGATGAAGAAGTGCCTCTCTTTTTCCTGAACTGCAAGTTTGTTACCTGCCAAAGTTGATTCCGTCCTCGATAGTCTCTGGAAGGTCTCTGTTGAGTGTTTCCGGCAGGAGGAGGGCCAACAGGCCTGCCAGTACGGAGAGACTGCCAAACATCAACAGAGGCAGGGCGCGGCCGAAGTCTCCGCCAACAAACTTGCCCTTTGAATTGAGTACTAATTATTATTAAACTATCGAACCAACAAGAAAATTGAATATCAATACAGACGTTTTTGACGTGTTTATTTCAAGCCAGACTTAGACTCCTTTCACGAGGTCAAGAGTGATCATTATCATTTTATAGTAGGCGACGTTCGTCGATTAAATGTGTTATAATTCAAATGGTTGCACTAATTTGGACCCGTAAAACAAAGATATATGCTTGCCAAACATACCCAGTCTGCTATATACGGTGCTATCATGCCTCCTATCCGGGCCAAGGAACAACTTGCCCCGGTTGCAGAGTGGCGAATGACGGTCGGGAACAATTCCGAGGAGAAGATATACATGATGACAAAACCTGCCGTGGTCCCAAGCTTTCCTATCATAGCCAACAGGACGGTGACCCACTGCAATGCTACAATGCAAACACTTCTTTATTTATAAATGCATATTTCTTTACAGTTAATTTGTCACTGTTTCCTAAATTACGAATGACAATATTACCAAGACCTGTAGCTTCTGTGAACAATATATGGTATAAAAGTCACAGAAGCTGACAAACACTGTATGTGCCCATCACATGGCAGAGCCCCATCTTCAGTGCCAAATATGCCCTGAGAGGCTCGTTAAAATGAATAAGTGTAAGGGTTTGACATAAAGTGGGAGAGTTAAAACGATGTCAACGTACATTGGCCGGCATATAAGATGGTGAATATGTTAAGGATACAAGACACTCCTCCTATTAACATAGAAGTACAGTGCACGATCTTCCTCCCTAGTCTGTTGATCAGTTGAGCAGGAGAAGAAAGGTTCTTTGACAATGAATAAGGGTAGGGATTTGACAGTGAAAGAAGCAAAGTCATGTTTACGTACACTGATCAGCATATAGGATGGTGAAGATGGTAAGGATACAAGACACTCCTCCTATTAACATAGAAGCACAGTGCATGATCTTCCTCCCTAGTCTGTTGAGCAGTAGCAGGACGAGAACACAGGCCGGTAATTCCACCAGCCCTACCAGCAGGAAGTTGAGGTGGAGGCTGCCAGCCCCGAGGTTGTCCGAGTTGAGAGACAGGCCATAGTACACCATGCTGACCACCAACCTTGATGCAAGGATCAAACATACACATGTATTTCATGAGATCCTGATTTCAGTGATCCTTGATTTCTGGATAATATGCCAGTTATGGATAATATGTAAATCTTGGTTATGTCAGTTCAACATAAGGTATCTCTTTCTTTCTTTTTAACCAATTAGTAAATTTATATTAAAATAATAATAATCCTTCATATTTCTCATTTGTTATTCCTGAGAAGATTCCATAAGACATAACTTCGGCGATGCATTACGTGAGTCAGTTTCATCTTTGCTTCATATCAGCTCTGAAGTGGCGTTTTAAAGCTGCAGGATCTCAGTAAAGGGCATTATTTGTAAAGATACAGCAATATGTTTTAGGATATGAACATGAATGAAATAATACCACATTACCAGTTAAAGAATATAATAAGAGTTCGTATACACATGACTGGAGTGGTGAAGAGCTGGAAGAAGTTGCCCTTGGGCTTGTTAGCATCATCAGTTTCCGCCTCTGTTTTCTCCTGCTGTTCGAACAAGTTGTCAGGTAGCTTAACTCTGTTCACGTCCGCTGCGCGGCGTATGATCACTTCCGCTTCCTGATAACGGAACTCGTTCATCAGCCATCTTGGAGATTCGGGAATGAGCCTGTCATGAAGATTAACACTCCTTTTGAGATAAATCAAATACAGCGGCATGAACCAACTCCTAAAGCATTTCACGTATGCAATTGCAAATTCCTGTTTAACATTTGAAAAGAAGAAGGAATCGTGTGGTTTAATTCATATCAAAAGTGTTCGGTTGTGAATACAAGGTAAACTGTTTCATTTATTAGCTGTAGAACAATTCATATGTTCATTTTCCAGACAGACAATAATGTTTCTACATCTCCAAATTTAATAGCTTACATTCAGGGTAGCAATTTGTGGAAGATCAACCCCCTGATCAACTTTTATCATGACATAGTATTTAACACTTACCACCAGTAAATGAGGAAGATGCCGACAGGGACTGCCACGGCTAACTCCAGGGTATGCCAGTCTCGAATGAAGTAGGCAACTCCAGACAATATCGTCATACCAATAGCGAAGAACGCTGCGATCATTATTCCCGTCCAGACACGTTTAGAGGGTCCTACTATCTCCATACCTATCAATGTGATTAAACAAAGTCCATTGTTTCCATTTGTCTTAAGAAATTGTCACCCTTGGTTGTTCCACATGCTTCTTTACGAAATACCCACAACATTGATAATGGTTATGATTGTGGCAGCGACAGGAATAGGGAAGGGAGTTAGCGGTGTAAGTGATGTATGTACTAGCGGTCATTACTGGTGCTAACAATCCTGACAGATCACTCAGTTCAGATCTGCCAGAACACTCAGATCGCAGCTGAAGACTTTATTCTGACAAGCATAGCTCGTATGGTTTGTATGGTTAGAGCATGTTTATGCATGTAGTACAAAGCTAAGGCCTGTTCGCTCTTTATACACAGCCGTGACAACGAATGGGATTTCTTTTAGGAAACGATGCCTAGTCGAACCTGTCAAGAACGTTTAAAAGAATCTGTACTCTCCAACACTGCAGCCTTCTGTGTCAGGTGGGCTGTATTCGTGAACACTCAAGACATTTGGGGGTACCAAAGCAAACCCTGAAATATTGCTCGTCTAGAAAAAAAAGGGTTCTTAAGTCATCAAGTTGAGATGACTTGAAATTCATTGAAGACTTTGAAGACAAGAAATTGCTCGATGACTTAAATGATTAGAGTGACTTCAAAATCCATTTGAAGTACCGAATCATAAGCAGTCATTCCAACACATGGAGAGGTTCCTGTCGTCATTTTTGGAATCAACAATTAGTCCCCCAAACCCCGAGGATTCCAATCAATACTGTAAGTATGTATGGTTACAGTAGTTATGGCAGCGAAGACTTTTGGAAATGTTTTGAGCACGTATATATCAGACATGAAAAATATGGGAAACGACATGTATATGGCTAGTTGACGGTGAGCATGTTTAGCAAATCCTGCAATCAACTGCATTCTTGATTGGACCAAGCATAACCCCGTTAGGTCAGTCAAAATGTAACTCAGACATTCGAACCTATTTCGACAATGGTGAAACTGGTTAACTCCTTTGCTGAGGAACATATGGTATTACTGACGCTTGTGTGTTGGATACTGTAACATCATTCAAGACTCTAGTGTATCTTTAACAGTGGTTAAGGCAATGTTGTAATGTTTTACCCATTACGAAGCAAGTGGTATAGATTCCGGTTGCTGAGGCGCCATTGATGAAGCGGAGGATGACGAACATGACGAAGTTGCTGGACCAGTTCAGGATGATGCCGCCAGCAGTTAGGAGCACAATACACAAATATAGGGCCTTCTTCCGCCCAATTCTGGCAAAGAAGACGACAGAGAGTCGTAATACTCAGTTGATATTGCAAATTGCTATTTTTGAAATCGAAATTGGTCACGATAATGCGTTCAGCACCCAACTTGGACTTATTCTGGAGGTTAATTAATCAGGAGACCTGCAGGCGAGGGGTTAAATGGGACATTAATATCCTAAAACCGACCAGGAAGAAGATCATGACTGTAGTCAAAATACTGCTCGGATTCGTCAAATGTTCAGAAATTAACCATGAAACGAAATCTTTCCCAAGTTCGAGTCTCGGGGTTTTAGGACAACATCTAAGTTCAATATTTTCAACTAAGATAGCTGTATCAGTCGTGGTAAGAGGAAATTAGTCGTATACAAGTTCTTTTGTCGGGAGACCGGGTTCTTTTTGGCCTCGTCAGCATGCTCCAATTATCAGAAATACCAAATACTCCTTTGGGATAGACATTTTAATGACGAAATAGTAACGAGGATTTCGTGGGTCTGAGGCGAAGCAATGTTTAGTAAACACATTCTTCATGTTTCAAAATGATCTATCTTATATTCATTTGGGAACACGTGATTACCATTTCAAGGAATAGTATAGCAGCAGGACTTTATGGGTGATATAAAAGTACACCACAGCAGAGTTCGTTGTACCTTTCCCACTACGTCATAAGCATAAATTTAAAGTCAGAAGTGATTTTACCAAATGTGATAGTGAAGGTCTGTCCCAACTGTCCCAATGGACAATATATTATTTTTAGAAAATATGTACAGTGCATTTAAGTTCATAACCACAGTTCTGCAATGTTAGAACTAACGTATCTTGTTATTTTGTATAAATTGTTTACTTTGTTATCATTGGACTGTTCATTATACGGACTCACTTGTCTCCAATGGCTCCTGATGCAAATGCTCCAAAGAAGCACCCCAACATAAACAGCATCGTAGAATGAGTTGCCAGTATGGCGTCGTCACACACAAAGTTGAACTGAATGAAAGAGTGCGGTCTGTGAACATTGTATCATTAAACTGTTCTGGAGAGTACAAGCATTAAGTTCAGATCAGTGCCACAGTACCAGTTAAAATCGGATTTTTTAATCATTGGGGACTTGCCAATGAAGCCGACCATTCGCAAGTTTAACACTGTTAAAATGTTTGGGCTTTTACATACATTTGAGTATTGTATTAATTTACCCCAACATAAATCATTGCAAATTAACATTTACTTCCATTGAAGCAGTATAACGTAGAAAATGAACATTTACCTCCATTGCAGCAGTGAACTCGAATACTGACTTGTCATACACCCACTTCTTACAGCCGAGGACTGCACGATTGGCGCTAACATTGGTGATATCATAATTGTCAGAGTAGATGTGACAACGATCAAGCTGCTGTTTGCCGTCCCTCATGACGTAGGGGATGGTAGCGTTGATCAGGTTGGCGTGGCTGTCAGACTGTACATAGTAGGTGTCGTTGTCATAGCCGGGGATGGCGCACCTGTAGAACAATACACAGTGTACATAACTTCAGCTTGTG